CATGTTACTTTTTTGGCATTCCAATTGATCTTTGCTGCTTTACAGATTGGTTTGATGGGCTTCAGACATTCATGAGGTACATTTGTCACAAAAGCTGGTTAGGTGGATGGTTTATGCCTCAGAAGAAAAGCTATTTTGCCCTTCAGCTTCCTAAAGGGTGGTGGGTGTTTGGTCTTGACCATGCTCTGCATTGCGACATTGATGTATACCAATTCAAGTTCTTTTCAGAACTGATAAAAGAAAAGGTATCATTTCTACCATCAAGGTTTAGGTTGTCAAATTGCAGTTGTTAGCATGTCAAAAAATCTGGAAGAATGTTTAGTTTTAGTTTTGCATCATAGATTCTCATATAAATGCGAACAGCTGGATTTCTTCGTTCAGATTTTTTCCAATCATTATTCGATTATACTCCTGTAATCCTATTTAACTGTTGAGCAAAAGAAGAAACAATTACTATAAGAAACATAATGGACTTCTAAGCACCTTAATTTTCTTTTAAACTAATGCTTGTTTCTACTAAAAGAAAAATTATGGTCCCGATGTGTTAAGTCTTTGTCATCTCTGCAACCAATGTTGTTTCCATAAGTGATTTAAATTTATGCAGTTTTCATCTTCTGTATTCCCTTCTCTTTTGTTTTACTTTTTGTCTCTTCCACTGCTCTTATCCTTATTCTTTTTAGATAATCCTGTATGAAGTGTTTCATCTGTTATCTCAGGTTGGGGAACATGATTCTGTGATCATTATGACCCATGAACCTAATTGGCTTCTTGATTGGTACTGGGATGATGTGACTGGTAAGAATGTCTCACACCTGATACGTGACCATTTAAGAGGGAGGTGTAAACTTCGAGTGGCTGGGGACTTGCATCATTACATGCGTCATTCGTATACTCCATCAGACAAGCCAGTATATGTGCAACATTTGCTTGTTAATGGTTGTGGAGGGGCTTTTTTGCACCCTACTCATGTGTTTAGTAACTTTAACAATTTATATGGGACATCCTATGAAAGCAAGGCTTATCCGTCTTTTGAAGACTCAAGCAGGGTATGTAAACTGAACTTTTATATCTCTCCGTCATATGTTATTCTTTTCTACTGTATTTGATACTATTTTGTGGCAATTTTGATGCAGATTGCTTTAGGAAATATATTGAAGTTCCGAAAGAAAAATTGGCGGTTTGATTTTATTGGTGGTATTATATATTTTGTATTGGCCTTTTCAATGTTTCCGCAGGTAAAACATTTTCCCTGATTTTTGGCACACATAATTCATGATTGATCAAGCACCAAGATCTGAAAGTTTGCAAACAAATTACTAATTTGTTTCCCTCTTCTTCTAGTGTAAGCTAGATCACATCTTACAGGATGATACATTTTTGGGTCACTTAAAGAACTTCTTCAGCACAGTATGGGATGCTTTCCTTTATATGCTGGGGCAATCATATGTATCCTGTGCTGGTGCTTTCTTACTGTTAGTTACCGCTTACACTTTCGTACCTTCAAAAGTGTCTCGAAAGAGGAAACTAATGATTGGGATTCTTCACGTTTCTGCACACTTGTCTGCAGCCTTGGTTCTCATGTTGCTCCTGGAATTGGGTGTTGAGACGTGTATCAGGCACAAATTGTTGGGAACTTCAGGTGATAGTGTGTTTCTTTTTATCGCTGAGTTTAAATGATATGTTTTTGTAACTTGTACAATTGCATATGGTTTTCTATGGGGGTGCTATTTAGAAAAAATGATTTCTATTAGGCCCTTGTTTGATCCTCATTTTGGGGGAAATAATGCATTTTGAATAGTAGATTAATTGAGAATGC